ACTATAGCGAAGATTAAGAGAACTTGAGAAATAAACAAGCAAATTGTTTCCGTGTACCGGAAAACTCAGGACGATACCCTTGATCATATGGCTGCTTGCAGACCTACTTTGTCATTTGCTTCCTTAGCTTGAAAAGTAAGCTCTAATCTTTCTTTACTCTCTTAAATTCTCAGGGATGTCAAGGTGTGCACATCTATATCTTGCCATTGACAGATCAATTAAACTTTACAATTACAGCCAACTTAATGAAAGTAGTTGGCAAGTGTTGATATAGTTATGAGCAAAGTTAATGCGAAAAATTCATATGAAAGATTGGGGCTATTAGGCGTTTAATGGTAGTTGTACTTTCTGAGAATTAAGATGGGATTCTTTTTTAATTTGGTGAAACCCACCATAGCCATATCATAATTTCTTTTATGGAGGAAGTCTTTTTTTATAATTGGTTGTTTTAATGAGCATAAAGGGTTTTTTTTTTTTTTTCTTTTTTTTTTTTTTTTTTTGGTTGGTTTATCACACCAATTAGAGTAGTTTGCGTTAAAAGGAAATCCTTAAACAGAGGAAATGGAGGCGGGTGTTTAGTCTAGAGGTATGGTTGAGTTCTTGAATAAAGGCTCTATAATTGATGGAAAGAAATTAATGAATGTGTAATATCTTTAGTTTCTTTTTCTGTTAGATAAGTAGGATATGAAATTGGTTAAGCAGATTGGTGTGCAAGTATTATTTGATATGCTTGTTGTGGATGCCTTGTTTGTTGTGGGTGTGAAAGACTTATGAGAACTGGGACTAGTTGCATTTTCTGAGATTTTTAAATAATATCAGTGAATGAAGTTCTGTAAAACATCTTTTTGTTGTGTATTTATACTTTAGGTTTCAAATTCTCTCGATATTCAAATAAAAAAACTAAATATTGAATGAATTGGACAAGAATTATTTAGTGTATAGTATAATGCTACTACTTCATTTGAGCTAACAAAAACTGCCTGTAAAGATGTCTTTTTGAGCCCTCTATTGGAATTAAGCTAATTAAAAGAACTATTGCTTGCAAGTATGAACATAACATCTATCATTAATATGGAAGTGCCCATTTTTCTGAATTCAAAATCTATGTGAAAAGGTGTGATGGAGAGAGCACTTGTTTCAATGGGTAGTTGTTAGTAAGAGTGTCCTACACTTAAAGATTTGATTATTGTGGAACTGCTTAAGGACTCAGTCAAGTTGTGAACTAAAATTGTTTTCATCTTTATATTAGGACTAGGTTAATATTGATATACGCTGGTATTAAGCGAATTGGAAATTTTGCGTAATTGAATTTTCTGTAAATTATGCTTTATTAAAGCTATAGCAGAAAGTTCATATACTCTTCGTGCAGATTACAGATAAACCTGTATTTTATAAGATAACCAACAATGTTTTATACTTTTTCTGATGGCTCAAATTGACAAGTTACCTTTGATGAAATTTTTTTTTTTTTTTTTTTTTATTACTTTTTTTTTCTTTTTTTTTGTTTTTATTTTAAGTTTTTTTTTTATTTTTTTTTTTTTTTAAATTTTTATTTTTATAATATTTTTTTTTTTTATTTATAACATTTTTTTTTAAGTTTTTTTTTTTTTTTTTATTTTTTTTTTTATTTTTTTTTTTTTTTTTTTTTTTTTTTTTTTTTTTTTTAATTTTTTTTTTTTTTACTTTTTTTTATTTTTTTTTTTATTTTTTTTTTTTATACTGTTAGTAATGACATTTTCCCTTTTTGATAGATTGCACAAATGATAATAAAAAGAACAATACTAATGTAACAGAAATTCAAGAAGCTGTCCAGTTATGCTTGTAGAAATCTTTCATGAATACTATGTTTTTGGACTTATGCTTGTTACAAATAGTAGTAGAATGAATTTTTGGTTCATTAATCGTTGAACTTTTGGTTCATTGTTTTATCAAATCTGCTTATTGATTCTTAATGAGCTTCCTCATTAATCTGTTTGTGACTGCTATTTTATGTAGCGCATCTGTTTGCGAGCATCCAACTAAATGAATGGAAACGTAATTAGATAAAAGTAAGTAGATAAATGACAAAATAAATTTATTTCATTTCATTGATACCATTTCGTTATGGTCTACCAGAACTGCGTTCCACTAATAAGCGTATTTGGTATATGTGTTTAACCTTGACACCTATTACATTCATTGTTTTCCTTGGCATTAGTCTGTGCTTAATAATAAGGTAAATTTTCCATTCATGGGTAACAAACTTCACTGAGAATTAAGTTTGCTTTTTTATACGTTACAATCAGCATAAGATAAATAAATAATTGTGATTTTTTCTCTGTCAAGCAAGTATATTTACTCTACAAGTTGGTGCATTACACTCAGAATTGGATATTCATAAATTATTCAACGCATTCTGCTTCAAGCTCTCCTTTGGACCACTGGAATTTCATTTTAATTCAGAAATGCCTTGTTTCGTTTGAGAGCTCCCCAAAAACATATGAATTGTGATTTTCCTTCCGTGTAACTAAACTTTGAAATTCTAAACTTAAAATTTGTATTCAATTAATGATAGTGCTGTATCAGTTTCCATTTCTACAGAAAGATTTGTTTTTTGTATAATATTTGGCCCTTGTTGAATTGCTAACTTGTAGCTACTGTTAATGTTTTTTGCTTCTTATTTATCCATTAAGTTCCTAAGGACAGCTTTTTAGGACAATGTTACTCCATTTAATCCATCAGACATTTTTTTTTCCATTTGAAAGTAATATTTTTTGGGTGTTCTAATTTGGTGATTCTGAAATAGGAAATGTGCAAAAACTTTGAAAGTTTAGTGTCTGTGAGTTAATTCTAACTGTTGATTTTGTGAAGCAATTAGGTTGTCCAACCCCTGAAGTTCAGTATTATTTGGATTCCTGTTGCTTGGTCTTCAATTGATGTAAAATTACAAAAACAACAGAGAAAAGCATCCATGATACCCTCTGCTCTACCGGAAAACAGCTGCTTCTGTTTGCAATTGCTTGCACTGTTTGGGTGCCAGGCAGCTACACTTCTTGTGAGAAGGCGACAAAGAATCTGAGACAAAAGTGAGGTAGTATTTAACTTGGAAGACATATAAAATGGATCTACTTAGAAAAAAGAAAAAAGCGATAAGGTTCATTCGGATAAATATGCAATCTAGTTATCTTTTTCTTTCTTGGAAGAATTTCATCCGTAAGATAGCACACAGGGCATATATTTTATACTTCAATTTTATTTTTCAACATGGATGAGGCCCAAAGTACATTTAATTGCAACATCCAGTATTAGCTGCAGCTTTTACTAGTTATCTGCTTGTTTGGAGATATTGTGTGGTGACATGTAGACCACCTGTTGTCTGATTAATGTCCATTCCCCGTTAAATTGCAGATTCAATTGAAACAGTGAAGAAAATGTGGTGGTTCTGGTATATGTTCTGAATGTAACGGTGAAGGATTGTGCTTAAAGAAAACTGTCAGAAGGAGAGTGCTGAAAGTAGCAAGATTGGCAAAAGAATATGGCCACTCGATACACAGCAGACGTATATTTTCTTTGCTCCCTCTTGCTTATGCACAAGCATCAGCCTTATGCTTGCGACTATTCATTGAACTCAAGATTTGTTCAGGCTCCCAAAGAAGTGGAGTACTGCAGCAAAAATGCTCTTCTGCGCGGGCTTGTTTACATGTGGTGGCCGGGGGAAGGTTAGTACTATTCTACTCTTATGTGCCTCTAATTGAGATTGGCTCTATATGCTGTTCCAAAGCTAAAATTAAAGAGTCTTGAGACTTGAGTTGACACTGTATGATGAATATGTATGTAGCTTTTTATAAATTGTTACATTTGTAGCAATATTGCCTGAGGTTTTATATGTCCATCTAATGAGCAATGTTGATATTTTTCGTGACATTGTATTTTGCTTCTGGGAATTTCAAATATAAAAGTTTTATTTTTCTTTATTTTGTGTAATTGGTTTTTTTGTACAAACTACCTCAATCTATTTATGGAGCATAACGTTCTAAGAAGGGTCTTCTTCTGCCAAGCTGCTTTTATATAAAACCCAACATTGCTCTATTCAAAGGGTTTCAAGTAATCTGTATTTTGTAAGGATTTGTGGAAGATTTGTTGATTTATAATGATAATCCCTAATTAACTAAACTAATTAAAGTCAACTTTTAATAGGATGATTCCTTTCCTTAAATTTAATTTCTTTTCAATTTTGTAATACACGTCTTGTTCAGCATTCTTAGCCATGTGGAAGTCAAACATTAAACATGAAATTTAGTATTTAGAATATAATAATGTAAGGGTTGGACTGCATATTTTGCTCCTTGTTTGTTGCTTCTTGAGCCTTTGAGATATTGTTTCACCGTACACTTGTACGACAAAGTGAGGAGAAAAAGCTGAACAAAATACTATATATTATTAAGCTTTACTATGAAATTAACATCTTGTTTTCAATGTTGAGTTTTCAAGGTTTGGTTTATTCTTCTTACCAATAAAACTATGGATTAGACTTGTTCTAAACCTGGTAGAAAATAAGGAATTTTTTGAACATTATTTCCAGCTTCTCCTTTTTTTTTTTCCTATTGAATGAACAGAAATATTTTCGTTTCAACAAAAAAGTTATTTTTTATTGGTTGGTATATGATTAGACCCATATCGGTCTAAAAGCAAGGAATCCTCAAAAAGCCACTGACACGTATCTTGACTTAAGATATGCAATGACATACACTTAAAATGATAAAATCATTTTAGACCTCTTAATAATACGATTAATGCTATATTGATACAGAGATTTAAGAAAGAACTAAAATGCATGCAGTGTACATTCATATTAATGCCTTAACTTATTCGCATAATCTTCAGATTTACCAGTTGGTATTTATAGATTATTATTTTCCTTCTGAGTTATCAGAACAGACGACGATTGTTATTGCGTCCAGTTCTTGTATATCATTTTTAAATTAGACTATGCATCAATCCATGTTACTATTCAGATTGCATTATCTAGCAATATCAGCGACTTGTGTAGGTGTAGCATTTGGTGGTGTAGCTACCGGAGCAAGTGCGTCCATCTGCCTCGCCTGACCGGCTTATTCTCAGCAAATTTAATGCTGTCCATTCATGATACCCTTCTGTATCTTCCTTCCTCCGTCCACTCCGACCATGTAATAATACTCTTCAGAACATTTTCTAGTCTTTCGAAGCAGGGAGGAAACATACTTCCCATTGCGGAAAATGTATGAACGCTTACTGCAACTGTACAAACAAAGCTGCTAAAACACCCATCAAGGCTGTATTACCAGTAGCTGAGAGAATCTTGAACTAGAAAAAGAACACGAGCTGATTCAGTCCCGGAACCGAAGTTCCCACCTGCACCAGTTAAACCCAAGATAGTATACCCAAAAGATCGCCTCGAAACGAAAGGAACGACACCGTAAGAGCTCCACAAGGCAGCTTGGATGCCAATTGAAGATAGCATCATTGCGAAGGAATTTGCAAGGAAGTGAATTGGCACGGCCGAGCCAGATGCAGAAGAAGCTCCTTAGGTTTGAAAAATCCAAAGAACCATAACCTTCCTCTATGCCAAAACGTCTAGCAGTTAATCAGAGGATATAACCCCAAAGGCGAGGTAACGATATTAGTCATGCCCAAAACTTTCTGCGATAATCCAGCGTGTGGAGCTTTAAGTTAATCTGTGCGTAGAAAATTCAGTAAATAATATTGTTTGTCGTCAATTGGAGTTCCATTGAAAAACCATATAGCAAGGAAAAAAACCACGTGTCTATAGTTTGTGATTCCATACTGAGAACCGTGAACAGGAAATTAACAAATAAGTCAGCCTATAATGCGTATAACTAATCTAATTTCTATTTATATAAAAAGATTCATATTAATATGAATGCGAAAATTAACAAAGGAGAAAAATAAAAAGAAGATAACTATAATCTGGGAGATTATTGATTAATATACCTTGGAGATTTATTCTCTGGCCAACATTACCGTTCTTTTGTAATGGAAACTAAATTACCATCAGGCAAATCTGGCCAAGTATAAGAACCAAAATACCCATTAATAAACATTTGAGACATCCAGGAACAAAGAAAGCAATCCTCCAAGCAGTAAAGGGAGTAGCACCAGCTTAATAATTTAACATGGAAAATAAAAGGCATTAATAATTGGGTAAACTCCACCGCCCATGTCTCCCCATCACCTGCCACATCCATTAAACAGACTTTAATCTTGCCGTTAAAACATATCGTTGTCCAATAATTGGCAAAAAACGAAGGTAGGCAAGCAAAACCGTCATAAGACCTAATATTTAGGATTCTTGAGCATTGAAACAAAAGTGACACATGCAAAAAACAGTAGGAGCAGACAGCATTAAAACAAATGCAGTTCCATATCTAGGACCTATTAGTCACAAACAGCACCATTACGAGCCTAGAAAGTATGCTGCCAGAACTGAAGCAACACTCGCATTACCCACATCAGATTTTGTAAGTTTAGGTGTTATCTCTAATGATAGGGAACAAAGAGGTGCCAGCTGCAAAAGTGGAAATAAAGCTAGTGAAAAAAGGATATCAAGGCTAAAGTGAAAGGCTCTTCATGTTGAGGGTTTGCAAAAGAAAGTGGCTTGAAAAGTTGGCTCTGTGTTCAGGAATTCAATAGGTAATGCAAATTGGATACTATCAATTGGGTATTGTAATTATTTTGTTTGTGATTGGATTCTACTGAGAAGAAAAAAATTTGTTCTCTCCCTGTAACTCCATGCATGGAGGTTTCCTAGGGTAGCTGCTTCTTCTATTTGGGACATTTTTGAGTGAGAAATAAGAAAAACCAAGTGAACTATGATTGATGAAGAGAAAAAGATAACTAGATTATCTATGGCAATGCATGTATTTGGTGTTGCATTGGCTATTCATCTGGATTTATAAGAAATTCTGGACCCTTAAGGATTGATTGATCAAAAAACAATTGCGTTATATATTTTACAATTTTTTATAAAATTGTTTGCGTGTTTAATTTTTTTATTTTCTTATTTAGTAGCTATTAATAATATCTTTAAGTAACTTTACGCAAAATTAGAATATTTAAAAACATTATCTTTTGCATTAGCCTTCTTGAATTTCATTCTGTATTTGAGGAAATTACTTTGTAAGTGGTGGTCCCAAACACATTACTCATGTTAATGTAAATGAAAAATAAATCTACTAATGTTCTTGAAGTCATAATATTTGGTTGTCCAACATTAGATGTTAATTATACTTATTTTATTAAATTTTGTATGTATTGTATAATACATATGCTGAATGAATTCGTTGAAAATGGCATATAGCGGTTGTTTGAAATTTCTGAATAATGATTATTTGATTTGAGTGGACTAACGTGGGGTTTGTCGGAATTTGTGTGTGATGATGATTTGACTTGGTCATACATTGTTTATGCAATTTAAAGATGCAATTGTATTTAGTTAATACATATTATTATTATTAGTATACTATTTAGTTTCACTCTTGCTAATAGAACCAAAATATTAGTGATGTATTGATACAATTCAAAAAAAAATGAAAATTATTATTATTTTAGAATCCAGGAAAATTTGAATATTACAAGTCTAATCCTAAACTTTCATAATTCCCCACAACATTTTAAAATAGTTTAAGCGAAAAATTTGGTCTAAATACATTATTTATAACGACAATTAACCTCAATTTCAAAATTAGCTGGAATCGGCTAAATAAAACTCATTTATTTTCATATTTACTCTTTTCAATTAAATGATATTAAAACAAAGTATTTACCTTTTTGTCAAAAAAATTTGGAATTTTTAATTGCTGGGTAAAAATTCCTCTATATAAATTAGCTGATAAGCAAAAATATATAGACAAGTAACAACAATTTAAACCTTGACTAGTTAGATTCTGCCAGAATGAAAATGTTTTGTCTCCATGTTTACTACGTCATAGCTAAATTCTTTACTAATATAAAAAAATACCTTAGATTTTCTTTCCTCAATATGATTTTCAGGTCTACTTGGTTTTCTTTGTAGCAAAACTTTTCCATTGCTAAAGTTATCACATTTAGGAAACGGAGCATATTGACCACAACTTCTCTTATTTTATTACCAAGCTTTTACTATTTACATTTTTATCTAATGAAGGCAGACTGTGTCCAACTTTGTTGTGACCATACATCCATTTTAATATATGTATCTTTGCAACCATTATTTTATTGAACATTAAACTTCCATTTGTTTATGCTCAATATTAACTCTTCATATATATATATGTCAGGTCTCATCATTGTCTTTACAGAATTTACATGTTCATCTTTATTAGATATCGTTCTATCACATAGATGCAAAAGCCTTATTGACTGCATTTTGTACACCTTCATACCAATATTGCTTCAGCCAAAAATTAACTTGTAATGCATGTAAAATTCTTATTTGAAGAGTACTCTTCCACAATTCAACTTTCATTTTAGTCCTTCACTAGTTTCATTAAAATTACTTTACTTAATCATAGAAATAAAACCCATAAATTAAAAAAAAAAAAAAAAATTGACAACATAATCACATCTTAAAAAAAAAAAGAAAAGAAAAGGAAAAATTAAGAGCAGTTTCTTGAGATGAGAAATAAAACACAGCCGTAAAAAAAAAAAATCAAATTAATTAATAAGAACTTTTAAAAGGTACAATTGAATAAATTATGAATTTATATAAATAAAATAAAATCATAAAACTCATAATTTTTTTTAATTCAATAAACAAAATAAATCATAAACTCTTAAGTGGTTGCAATTTTAACAATGTCAAGTAACTTATGAATTCCATCTTTTGGTTTAGTTGGATGTAAAAATAGGAATTGACTTCATTTTAAAGTATTGTTTTTGTTTGATTGAAGTAACGATGACAAGTCCCAATTAAAAGGAGATCAGGAGAAGATCACATGCGTTCGTAGTGCTGAAGTAAAATAATATATAATTAAGTTAATTGCTTAAATCTGTGGAAGAAGTTTGACAAGTCAAACAAAAATATTAATGGAGAAAGGAAAAAGGGTATTATAATATTTAGATAAATGCTAGTTGACCTACCTACTAATCTAATGTTTTCATGTTTAATTATGATTATTATATATTTAATTTGTGAAGTATACCTCTCTCTCTCTCTCTTCTCTCTCCTCTCTCCTCTTCTTCTCTCTCTCTCCTCTTCTATATATATAATATATAATTATTATAATATATATATATAAAGTTCGTGAGCGATGGCTGACTAAGGAAGCCTCCTCTTGTCTTCCAAAAGATCACATGGATTGTGCTTATGGTACGGCCTATTTTATCACCATGTGAACCGTCATTTAATTTTGTCTCTTTGATAACTTAATTTGATTCCTTCTTCCTTACTTATTAGAAGAACAAGTGTCACTTTTACACTTAATTATAATGTAAAATACTGTTTTTTTTTCACAATTATAAATTGTTTTAAAGTAATTATTTTATCCGCAAGTAATTATTTGAAATTAATAAATTTTTTCCAATTTTACCTTTATATATTTTAAAATTTTAATTATTAATAATTTGAGATAAATGGTAATTTAGTTAAATTAATGAATTATTTTTATTATTTCATCCGTTTCAAAGTATAAGTCGTTTTTGAGTGATTATTTTGTCCTAAAATATTCGTTGTGAGTATTTTAAGTAATAATAATTTTTGAGTGATTATTTTGTCCTAAAATATTCGTTGTGAGTATTTTAAGTAATAATAAATGATATTTTACAATATTACTCTTATCTACATTATATATAGTCAATAACTATATTCATAAGTTACATTTGGTTTTGCGATAAAAAATAATTTAGTCAAATTACTCTTGATTTTATTATTAATGAATTATTTTTATTATTTCATCCGTTTCAAAGTATAAGTCGTTTTTGAGTGATTATTTTGTCCTAAAATATTCGTTGTGAGTATTTTAAGTAATAATAAATGATATTTTACAATATTACTCTTATCTACATTATATATAGTCAATAACTATATTCATAAGTTACATTTGGTTTTGCGATAAAAAATAATTTAGTCAAATTACTCTTGATTTTATTATTAATTTAAAATAATTAATTACTTCTTAATATCAAAGGCATAATCAAATATCAAATCTCAATATTCCCGTATAGTATTATTTTCAACATTTCTATTCATAATCCATACTAAGATATTCATGTAATATATATAAAAGGTTGTAAGACATAAATACACAAAATTGCAAACCATAATTTAATACAATATTCCTTATTCAAAACCGTACTCCAACATTTAAATTATACGCCATAAGCTAAATACATAAAGAATTTAATTTACCAAAATGAAATCTTTAAGCTCTGATGCAGCTAAATGTAACACCCCTTATCTAAACCTTTGGTTCGGATATTCAGTGTCACAACGACTTGTTAATATAAATGCTATGAATTCAATAAACAAAAAAAACCTGTAATTTATTTTCAATAGTACAAGTCATGTATTTATTGAATGAATAATAGAGGGGTGAATTTATATATTTCGTCTAAAGTTGTTGGTATTTGAATTTTATTAATAAATGGGATTGAATTATTGAATTCAACTCATCAAATTATTAAATTTTTTATAATCGAAACTCGACTCTTCATATGTAAAACACTGAGAAAAAGCAAGAGGTACGGCTTGGTACGGTTATACCTACCATAAAAAAAAATTAAATAAAAAAAGCAAGAGTAAGAATATTTGATTTTTAATTTTAATTATGTTATTTATTTTGACTTTTAGGAAAAGCGGTTTCATTCATGCAATGAACGTGGATATATATATATATAATTTTAATTATGTTATTGTTCTACCCTTTGTAATGCCTCTCTTTTATTTACTTTTTGATCGGTTTGTAATACTATATTTTAGTGGGGAATAGGTACGTAATTTTTTGATTCTGAATTTGGCTTATCTGAAGAAAGAAAAAATCCAAAAAAAAAAAAAAAAAAAAAAAAAAAAAAAAAAAAAAAAAAAAAAAAAGAGAAAAAAAAAAAAAAAAAAAAAAAAAAAAAAAAAAAAGAGTCGGCATAACCTTGTGAACAAGGTAAGGTAAGGCTGTGAGGTCAGAGATAGGAAGTAACTCAAAGAATAGTACGTTATGTACGGCTGGTACACCACTTATTATTTATTAATTAAAATTAAGTTTAATTAATTAACCACAGTGGTTGGCCTTGATGGCTGCTTAATTGTATATCTAATAATTAATAAGACAATTTAGACGTAATTATCGCACCAAACAGTAAGTACGGTATTGATATTATAATCATATATATTTGTTTTTATCATCAACGGTCAATAACAAGCAATAGTAAGGTTCATGTAAGACAATCTCCAATAACGCTAACTGAAGGATTAACTTAAATTGGTCAATTATATTTATTTATTTTTTATGTATATTGTTGACTAATAAAGTTTGATTATTAAGCTCAGGTCATGAAATAATTCTTAAATATTTTCATTTTCGAAGAAAATATATTAATCATCATAAAAAAACAATGAAAGATTTTTTTTTTTTGAGAAAACAATGAAAGACATGTAATAACATAAATGACAGTAACTCTTTAGTAAGATGAATCCTTATCTC